AAGGTAATCGTTCGAACGTATCCTCCCAGTTCGGTCGGAGGTACACAGGGACGCTTCCAAGTTTTATTACCCCTGTTTTTGTCAACCCCCGGAGGGGGTGACCGTTTCTTTCTCTTAGCAGTGATATTTCACTATGGCTAAAAGAAAGAGAGAGAGAGAGAGAGAGAGAGAGAGAGAGAGAGAGAGAGAAAGAGAAAGATATGCTCGCCTCTTAAGCGTTTGAATCCATTCGGGCGAGCTAGGTCGAGAAATAAGGTGGAGGCAGAAGGGGATAGTTACCCGCACTGCAGAATTGCTATTTTCCGGCCTCTCCCTCCCTATTTTACTCCCCTAATCCCAACGCCATAAATTAGCCGGGACGGAAGTTCGATACGTTAGTCGCATTTGTCCACGGTATACCCGAAATAAAGAGGACTTCGTGAAATCATGAGTGCACGCGCGAGATGGTCGAGGAAACTGTTCCCTCGATGCAACCCTGGGATCCTATCTCACGGTTAACAAAGACCGGTCGTACATCTATCTCGACTACTTAAGATATCGATACCTGCAACTCTCTAATGAACAAAAATAGTGACAAATATTTACACCAATTTGTTCTCGCGCTATGTACAGTTCGTTCTATAAACTAAAATGCAACTAGTGTGTGTTGCTCGTTTACTTCATATCGATATTTTGTGCACATGTCCAGAGATGTCACATTTCTTCCCTAAACATTCTGGAACACGTAATCAATATGTTACAAACAGTAAATATTTAATTATCTCAGAGAAATGTATTTACTAAATTTGTAATTTATTATTTATTAAATTTTATTTATTATAGAGATAATTTGAAAATAAAAATATAAATAATTTAAAATTAAAAATAAATAATAATTTTTTTTCTATAAATAATTTAATTTATTATTTAAATAATTTGAAGATGTTAATCATTATTATTAAGTTTGTTTATTATAACATATTTGATTGTTTAACTCTGCTAATCCATTCAGGTTTATTTGATTCAAAGTGTAATTAATTTTTTTATTAACATATTTAAAAATTTTTTCTGGCATTTGATGAAACTTCGTTTGTTAATAAGAAATATATAATTTTTTGTAAAATTTTTTTTAATTTTTAATGTTTTAAATTCATATTGAATCAAACAATGTGATCGCACAGTAAATTTGAAAAAAATCAGCAGGGTTAAATATAATATTATGCATAAATTTACGTTATAGTAGCGCCGAAGTAGCGCATATACTTTTATTAAATGTGCCCGCAAGAACTTTTAATGTGATAATTGTTTCTTAAATTATTATTAAAGAGAAGATATTATAAATATTCTTATTATTATTAATAAACATATTATTATTATATTCTATTATTATTTCCTATTACGCAATTAATATGTTTATTATAATTATTAAAAACCCGATATAATTTATTAATATTAATATAGAATTTACTTTAATAAAACGGATATTTTTAATGTTTTTATATCGCAATAAATTTTTTATTAATTCCATTTGTAATTTATATATATAATACGTGTAATATATATAATATCGTGTAATATGAAGTAATCAGAATACATATATAAAATAACATGTGCGTATTAAAATACACAGCATAAAAATTATAAATAAAATTCTATTCTAAAATCTAAAATAAATTACAAATCGTTTCAAATAGGCTTCAAATCTAAAAAAATTAATTTGATTAATTTCATTAACAATATTTTATTTTATAAGATATATCTTATAGCAATTTATTAAATCAATATTTCGCTAAATCTCTCACCTAATTTTCATTTCTGAATAACGCCTTGTAGCGTTGTATATTAATGACCGGTCCACACCATACAACGTGCATACAATGGCATACAGCGAACAATGGTGCGCATCGATTCAAATGAGTCAATCATGGCCAATCTAATTTGGGTATGCGTAAGATCGCAGCACATGGAATGTGATTCATGGTCTGTGCTATCGTTATTAACGATAATTTCAATAATATTGTAGATAATTTTAATAAGACATTTCAAGAAACTTGTAATACTTAAAAAGTATTATTTGCCTAAATATAATCATTCCATTATATCCTGCGCTTTATGTACTACAATAAAAATTATTTTAGCATTGATTTCTGTTCTTCAGAGAGTAGATTAAAAAAAAATAGTCTAATATTTAAAATTTAATTAGAAAATGCCTTCTCAATCTAATTGAAATCTAAAATCACTATTATCTTAAATAGATTTACGTGTTAGATAAAAATAATATTGTTTTATCCATTAACACATTAACATGTAAAACTTAATGCAGCAGTCTTTAATAAGAATTAGAGAAACAGAGAAAGAGAGAGTTTATTAAATTTAATTTTTCATGTAAAATGCTATATATATTAAAATGTACATAAATATATTTCAGTTAATTAAAAAATTCTTTATTATTGTAAAATGCAATATTATGAAAATATTTGCAAATTATTAGAAGTTCTGGTATATTACATCAATTATTTCAAAATTTTCAATAATTTGATTGACTTTTTACATACAATAATACTAATTAATATTTAATTAGTGTAATATAAATTTGTCTAATTACTAATCTTCTATTACTTAAAAAAATGTTGAGATTATAATAACTATAATATGTAAAAAAAGTAATTTTTTAAAACAGTCAGATGTACGACATAAATTTTATAATTTAAATTACAACGTTGTCAGATGATTTTGTAGAAAAACATTTTATTTATTCAGTATATTATACGAAAATGTGCGTCGCGGTGAAAATATATGTATAGAGAAATGTGAAATACAGTGATCCTCTGACTGAAGTGTAAATAGGAACGCCGTAAAACTAATCCTGGGATTTGTCCCGGATAGCGCTTTGTTATCCTTAAATTAAATGAGTGTCGTGCCGTTGCCAAGGCTTTTTTGGCAGTCAATGTGGGGAAGGCTTTTGGTAGGTGGGACGAGCTTGAGAAAAGGGAGCGAAGTGAGCGAAGAGAAAAAAGACGATGAGGAAGGTAGAAAAGCTTCACTCGTACTCGTCGTCTCGTCCGTTCGTTATTGTCGGCGGGTAAGGATCGTGCCAGGAAGATTGGGAAAAAATTCCCTGCTAGGGAAGGTTTCTCGCCTTCATGAAAACTCTGAGGTTTTATAGATGGGGATAAATAATGTATCAGGATATTGGAGGATAATAGCGCCACGGCAAGAAGAATCGAGAGATCGGACGAATCGGTGGGTAAGATACCCGCCATACTCCGACGTGTACATCTCTATAATCTCGAACTATAATCTCGAGTCTCATTGAAAACGTGATTGTAGATAAATCAAGACAAGTTTTTGCGTGTTCTTTGTGCTAACGCTAACTCTACCTAGAAAATTTTATCTTGATTCCGAAAGCTGAGGTAAAAGTAGACCGCAAAGAAACATGAAAGAGAAATTAAATTTTTCATGATAACGTTATCATAGACGTATGCGATACTTTACACGTTTTTGTCTACATAAAACTGACACGCTGATAATGGAGCAATCTGTGTTTACAGGAAATTTAACTTGATAGGCAATCTGTTCGTGGCAACTTGCAAATTTAATTTAAAAAAAAATTCGTCGAATACAACATTAGTGTTTATCAAATTAAAAAAAAATATTATTTAATATCCATGTAGCAAGATGATGTCAAATAAATAACGTCTTTAATATCAATAAAATGTCTTTAAAACTTCACTTACTAATTGGATATCAAAGATGTTTCTCAGTTATTGGTAAATTTAATTCGAATGCATCTTTATCCTTCGAATTGGAAAACTTATAGCGAATTCAGTCACTTAGCACTACGCTAGATCAGTGCATACTAAAAGCTGTTTTACATGAAATTAGCAAAGTTAAATGTAAAAGTATATAAATATTTTAAACATGATTAACTGTCTACTAATGATATTATCAGTTATTTAACAAAATATATATGTATCATTTCGTTGTCAAAGTTGATTGTATTGTATCACTGTATTCAAATATTTTATGTAAAGCAGCTTTTAATACGAACTGATCCAGTGTAGTGCAAATAATCAAATTCAGCATTATAATAGACACGCTGTTAAGTCGCTTCTTCTTGGCAGGAGCAGACTATACAAATAAAATGAAAATGTCGTGTACCTATCATGTACAGTTTATCGTGCATGACGCGTCGTTACTTGCTTGCATCGCGGCATGTTACGGCATGTCATTAAATTAATGTTGAAATCCTGTAGCACGCAAACTGCCGAAAGTTACCGGCCAACTCAAATCTCGGAATCACAATCACGACACCGCAAAGCGAAGTGCCAACCTGTTTTCCAACTAATACTTGATAATAAAAAAGTAATATTAGGATATTCGTATGCATCAACTACAATATAAAATACTCGTTATGCAATTCTTTTAGAAACCACTTATATGAAATTGAACATAAATAGATCAAAAGTCATAGATGGAAGTACCTAAAAAATAATTTTAAAAATAAATTTTTTTAAGCTTAAAGATATGCTGTATTCGAAATTTAATATTATTGATTTATATAATTTTTTATCTGTACAAAATGATGTACAATTTAATAACCTCGCATCGAAACGTTATACAAAAAATGCTTATTGATTCAGAGCGCAGCAAGCTCTAATGGTAACTCACCCACCGTTTTTCTTTGTCTCTTACATCGTTTCTTGCACGTTCGCGTTTATAACTTTAATATAAACTTACGCTGTCTGCATATAGAGAAATAATAAGAGCACTACGAGTTGCAAATATGAAAAGACATAGTATGTTACAGCAAATATCGCAACATATCTTGTAGCAGTTTTACGACGTAATTAACATTAACTTCGCAGAGTAGCTAAAACAAACTTTGCGGAATTGATTCACAACGCTATGTAAACCCGAATAAGTGTACAACCCTATTCACGCACAGAACGTGCCCCTTTCGAACATAAGCAGACAGCAATTACTCTCAATGTTAGCATACGACGAACTTCATCACTGACCTTCCACAAGGGATGGACGAGCGAGGAACACCTGCGCGACGACGTAAATCGCTGACACAATAATGCGGATCAGCGACATCCATCTAGAACTTGGCGTGACGCCACGACGGGAAAGGACGATTCGCGCCGGAATCTCGGTGCGGACTGACACACGAGGGGTTTACTCGGCTCGGTAGCGACTGGAGTAAAAGAGAGGGTAAGAAAGAGCGGTAGGGAGAGATAGAGAGAGAGTGAGTAAAAGAGAGATAGACAGATAGAGAGAGAGAGAGAGAGAGAGAGAGAGAGAGAGAGAGAGAGAGAGAGAGAGAGAGAGAGAATGAGAGACGAGAACGAGAGGGAGAGGGAGAACGTGATCCTTTCTGGTCTGCCGTGAGCTTTAGGGTTGGTGGTTCGCATGCGCCCGTCGGGGTTCACGTGCCCTCCGCCATCACAAACCGTAAGACCCGCCTTCCTCGTACTGGAGACACGTTCTTAGAATAGCGAGAAACACACGTAGACACCAACGTCAGTTGCATGGTATTCGACCACCGGAGTCCCCTTAGGATAGATAAATGATCGAACGTTCTGCGTTAAACAAGTAGACGCCGGATGATGTTTCTGTTTATACAATCTGCACTGCTTTCTCAGAATGCCAAAATTTAATATAACGTATAAAGCAACTATACTCCCGACTCCTCATCGATCCGATGCTTAATTAGTATGTATAGATATTATCTGTTAACACGTTATCGCGCGGAAATTATTTCAGAAAGAGCAGAAGTTGTCTTGCATTTAAACATCACAATGTTGTCGATGTATCTTTACAATGTCGAGTTCATTTTGGACATAATTTTATCTTATATTTGTTTTTTATATTTGTTTAAAACTGTAATATGTATCTAAAATTTTTTAGTATCAAAATATACATTATGCATTTTATATATTTAATTACATAAATTGCGATGTATTTCATATTTTTTAATTTTGTTTAAGATTTTTATTTAAATAATTAAACTCTAATTACATAATTATTATTATATTTGCATATAAATATGCAAATGTTTACATATAATATCATAGTTACGCACAACTAGAGTTTAATTATTTAAATATACAAATATACATTTTAAACCAAATTTCAAAAAATATGAAACATTATTTATATTATTAAACATATAATTTATATTACAATTTTTATTTCGCTTTATATTACATTTACATATTACAAAAATTTTCAGTGTATCTGATACAAAATCATGATGCTTTCGTTATAATAAGTAGTAAAATCTGTCATATGGTCAGCCATGCATTTCACGTTCACCAAAATCAAGTTTTACTCTACTGAACTTGTACAGATTGAAATTACGTGTTCAATCGAAACGTTACTTTTCAATCTGTGGCGAGTGAAAATAGCTTGAAATCGATCGTCGGTTCGACGGTGAAAAAGATTATCCACTTTTCCGTGTCAGATGATAAGATTTCGTGACCTGTGATTCACCGCATCAGGGCAACGTACACGTGCGGGGACTACTTTAACAGACTGTCGATCAATCAGTAGATATCCTCGTTTATCAACTCTTTTAAACGGACGCTAGATCCTAACATCGTCGTTCCACGTAAAGTTCTTTTTTTGATTGCACATACTGTTTCGAGCTTAACGAAATTGAACGCATCGTTGCTCTTTCTTCGAACATAGTTCACGTCTTTCAGCGCCGTCGCAGTCAGTGGACGCGTCACGAAAACTGTCAAGTTAAAAATTACGAAACAACAAGTGATATGCGCAAACACTGAAATTGGTTCCATGTCATGAGCCGAGAAGTCGTTAGCGCGATATACTGAAGTAACTAAGGATACTGAAGTAAGTAAGGATG